TATGAAACTAAAATGTGTTTCTAAAAGTGCAAATATCTGATATTTAGACCCCAGAGGTATATTTTGGCATATCTCAGAGGTGCTTTATTCTGTCATTCCAATTTTTCAGGACTTTTAATGACTTCATATCATTGTTTCCTGTTTCTGTTTTAATTAGTCCTTTTTGTAAGTACAAAATATTTAATATGAAATGGGTCCTCTGGGGGTCAGTTCAGGAGACAGACATATATGCAGCAGACAGATTTCCTCATGTGCTCCGTCAACAACCCTAATAAACCTCCTCACTAAGGGAAGATAATGTTCAAAGTCAGAAACACATGACATCATTTCATAATGAAAATGCTGGAAAATCTACTCTGCATGAGCCAAGCTGTGTGCTATAACTGCCTGTAGTGTGTAACATTTATTAATATAACATTTATTCCCTATGTTCCTGCACGCAAGCTCAGATCATTTGACAAAAATCTACTAACAGTCCCTCGATCTAGACTTACGACTAAAGAAGACTGAGCTTTTGCTGTCAGGGCCTTAAAACTTTGAACAGTCTGCAACCTCACTAACTCTTTTAAATCACTACTAAAAACTCATCTTTATAAACTTGCTTTTCAGTAAAAATGTTTGATATAATTTGATGTTGTATTATTTTGTATAATTAGTATAAGTAACTTTGTAAAGCTGTTTGTAAAAATGCTATATGAACATAGTTATTATTATTGTTGACAGTATTGTGTCATACTGAGACTCTTACTTTTGTATTGAAAGACAGACGTTTGAATGACTGTTAGTTTATTTCAAATGTTTTACAATGAGGTCAAAATGACTAAATATAGCATGCATAAAATATAGCATGTAATAATGTTTACTTTACATCACTGAAAACTAAATGATACCAGAATCAAAGGATGGTAAATAAGCTTCTAAGTACTAATGTGGACTGTAATTGAGATAAAAGCTGCAATTTGTATTTACACACTATGCAAATTAACTAACTTTCCTTAAATAATAATGTGTCTGTTTGCTTTTGTCTGATAACATTAATTACATAACTAGTAATGTTTTTTTTTTTTTTTGGATTAAAGATCACTTTTTTGGGCTTTTTGCCTTTAGTTGAGAGCTGCAGACTGGAATCAAACCCATGGCTGCTGCAGCAAGGACACTGCCTTTGTACATGGGACCCTCACTCTATCTGACCATGTGCCCCACTAATAATGTTTTAAGAGGAAATAAATTAACATTTTGCTATGATGGTTGTTTATCACAGTATTTTACTCTTTGGTTCCCATAGACGTCAGTCGGTAGTCCTTGTATGTTAGATATGTTTGCAGGATGCAGAGGTTTGACAAGACAAGTCTTTGTTTCTAACATTGTTTCTCCCCATATATGAACACATATAGACGACAGGAGTAAACCCCGGATCACTGCTCTGAATCTTAAATCCTGTAACCTGCATCAAACCAAAGGCCGCTCTCTTCCTGATCTCCCCTCTTCAGGGTCCTTCCTGAAAGGTCATGCACTGTGGCAGGCTGTCCTTGCCGATGCCTGTATGTATGCATGTATGAATGTATGTACGCTGCTCTCCACCTGTCATCTCATATCTCTGCCTCCGCCTCCGTCAACCTGCTTCCAGCCCAGCAACCAGCCAACCAACCAGTACAAGCCTGTTGCTAGGGCAACTGCTGTCTAGGGGATACTTCTTTTGTTTCTCACACTTCCTTTCCTTCATCCTTCTGTCTTATTCTTTCCTACTATCACTCTTTCTTCCTCTTTCCTTCCCTCTGTTATCTTTTTACCCATCGATTTGTCTGTCTGCCTGTCTCACTCCCTCCCTCTGTCTCCTTCTCTGTCTCTTACCCTCGTGAAGATGGGCAGGTATTAAAGGAAAAAGAACACAAGCGAGGGTACCTTTGTAGCATATATATATAAAAAAAAAACTAAACAGTTACTGTACGGTCAGCACATCACATGATGTTGTTACAGCCTGTGCATCACTGTTGCCACTGGCATTTAAAGGTTCAGAGATAACGCTAGGTCAGCTCAATGTGATCCTCCCTTCGTCTTTACTCAAGGGACTCTGGGAAGTGTGTGTGTGTGAGTGTGTGTGTGTGTGTGTACGCCTGCATACATATAGGTGCATGTATGCTCTTACTTCTGCATAGCACACATTATATGTGCACAAATATTTGTAAAAAAACAAGAATTACAGACTGCAAACATAACAAACATTCTAAAACTGGAGCTCAACATGGCTCTGAGTTTCTATTCCCCTGATACAGCATGTAATGCAGCGCCTCATGACAGCAGTGTTTCATCTTTAATGCTCCTCTGAGCTGTGTAACTTATTGTGTGCTGCCCTCTACTGGTCCATCAGAGAGACATCACAGTGAGGTCATAAGTTTTAACCTTTGATTGAACCTGACTCAGTGCCAAGTGAAACAGCTAATTCGGACAACTTAAGACTTTACAAGTGAAATAAATAAATAAAATAAAAGATTTTTAAAAAAATAAATAGTGAGAGAATTGGATGATTCCACAGCAGCTTTAAATCATTTATGAAAATAACTTCTCCAGCCCACATGCTGCTAAATTCAGGGCACTCAGTGATGTAAATTTTCTGCATTACAGCGAGATGAAACATAATTACCTTGACAACCTGCAGCCAAACTGATTCTGACTCACAAATATAAGAAAACTGAGTGTGTCACCCCCTTCTTATCTCCCTTCATTACCTGTCATCTCTGCTGCCTACATAAAAATAAAGGGAATAAACACAGTCCTTTTTTGTGTAAGACATTTTGATTTGTCACAGAAGAAAAACCACAAATGTTTAAAAAAAAAAAAAAAAAAAAAAAAAAAGGATGGCTGAATTTAATTTAGCTGCTTCAGTTTCAGGGTCCTGGTATTGTGTTTGCAGGCTCACCATCACAGGGTCATGGCTTACTGGGACAGTTTAATAATACAGAGCCATTGTAATGTTATTATTAACATCTGTGCTCATCAAAATGTCTGCTGTACATTCAAGCGTAAATGGTAACTAAGGAAAATGGTTTCAGCTGTGTGATTCAGAAATACTACTTATTTACTTACTACTGCATGTTTTATGGACACCTGGTAGATCAGTGAATAGGGAAATTAAGTCATCCTAATTATAATAAAAATGCAAATCAATTGTAGAAGATTTTGTCCCAACAATAATTAGTCTGTTTTATTCTATGATATGAATCTATCAAGTGTAAAATCTGTCAAATATATTATGTTAAATTAATACTGAAGCAAATCAGTGTCTCTTTTTTTTCGTTTTCTTTGACTATAGGTGACTGAACAATCATGCATCCCACTCACCTACACTGCTGATAAACTGGGTGCTTAACTGTTGGTGCTGGACTTGTGCTGCTGCATTCATTAAAACATTGCTGCTATTAATTTACCTCTTGAGTTTGTCAAAAAAATAGTTACCCTGTCAGCAAAAATGAGTTGAAGCAGACGTGACATCTTTTAAATGTAATTACCCATTATTTAGACATACTGTTTGTGCAGCCTTTTTAAGATGTTATGAAGTAAAAGATTTGAACTTTTAGAAATTATAACAATGATCTGAGCTGTAGAAATCTGTCCTCATACTGAATTCTATGGTCTTAAACCTGTATGAGTTAAACATAATACAATATATGGTTAAATCTCAGGTATACTGATTGGCATTTAGGTGATTTCTACAGGACACAGAGGTTGGGTTTGGACTGAACAATGTGCATTATAAACTGCAGCTTTTGAAGACACAGCAACAGGATTTAAGAAACTGATTTTGTTCCAGACAGCAGATTCAAACCCACATCAATAACAGAGCAACAGCCCCACATGTCCTGGTTTTGACTGTATGCCTTTTTGCATGTCTATTTATTATCGCATATGATAGGTGCCAAGTATGTGTGTGTGTGTGTGTGTGTGTGTGTTCTGTCTGTCTTCCTGTCTGTGCATACCTGTGTACTTGAATGTCTGTCATTCTTTTCTCTCCGCTGCAGTGATGTGGGTGAGAATGAGGCTAAAGGTGAATGCTGTTGTGCAGGTGAAGCGTCTGGTTCAAATGAAATTACTCAGAATGCAAAAATCTTCTTTCATTTAATCGTACCTAACGTACCTCTAACCAGAGGTCTAACAGCTTTGGGAATATTAAAAAAAAAAAAACTTGCCTTGAATGAATGTCAGATACTCATTTTAACAGTGAGCAGTTTTAAAGGCATGTCTGGACTGTATTTTGTAGTGTGTGTCTGTTGTAAATGTATCAGATGTTACCCACCTGTGAGGATGTTCTCTGCCATGACTTTGACCTGCACCTCCAGTGAGTGCTTGGAGGTGTAAGTGATCTCGGCGGTGACGTGGGCGACCTCCCCAATGAACATGGGGGACAGGAACTCTGTCTTCTCCACCCGAACTAGAGCTGCCAAACAGCGGTCCTAGAGAGACGAAACAGCTAACTTAAAACTTCTACAAACATCTGACATTCTTTTACAACACTAAAGAAAAATTATATCCCTCTACTGAAGACCTGTACAGAAAGTATTAGCTAGATTAGTATAGCATCTGGAATTTTTGTTCTGAAAGAAAATCAGCTAGAGGATTGGGTCTGAAGTGCCAGAAATCTTTTTGATGTAGGGTAAAGTACCCAAAAGTTCTTTAAGTGCCCCAGTATATATCCTGTTTAGTCCTACTGAAACTAATGATCTTGACAACTGTAGCAGTGCAAAAACTCTGTTTCTAAGTAAGCAAGGTGACTTTTTTGAGTGTGGATTTGATTTAGTGCTGACTATGCAAAGCTGTTTGACTTAATTCAAGTTGCCTCATCTTCATTAGCAAGTTAATCTTATTTGGGGTTGTGTTTAGGTAGATACAAGAAGTTTCAAGATAAAAACATTACATTTCAAGCTTTAGTCCACTGGTATGCGTGACAATATATATTCAACTTCTCAACATCCACGGACAAAACATAAAATTTAAAGGTTCAGCCTTGTGTCCACATGGAGATCTTTGTTTTTTCAACCTGCCACATTTCACTTATAACAGCTGTGCTGCGCCACAGAGATGCTAATCAGACAAGTTTAAAGGTACCGTGATGTCTATAAAAGATAAATACAAAAATATGTGCAGTGTTTGTAATCAGTGTAAAAAGATGAGCATGGACACAGGAAACCTAGATCTTAAAGGGATAGTTTGGATGTTTTCAAATGGGGTTATATGAGGTACTTAAAGCCAACTGTATTACCTAGAGTAGCTGTCAGTCGGCACAGCTGCAGGTGGAGAAGCAGGCAAAAGGATCGACACAGAAGCTAAGCAATGTGCTGCTGTGGATGGGGGCAACATAAAAAAATCTATATCAGTTTCAGTGCACGCTATATTTAGAATATTTTCACTGCTTTACATCATGTAATGTGTGTATTTTAGTCTGGCAAAAGGATTTTTCAATTAAAATTGAAGGTGGGTTAAAGTGTTATTTGCAGACTCCAACTGACTCCAAATGAACTGACGCCAAAGTCTGGCATCAGTTCAAGTCTGGCACTGTTGTCGTGACCATTCCTTCTTTTATATTTTCCTTGATTTTCATATTGCCCGCCACCCATGTCACACATGTTGCTGCTACCGTGGACACAAAGAGTATAGAAGAAGATCAAGAGACAGATCCACCCCTCTCTGATCAAATGGTAAAACTAAGCAATGCTGATCAAATATATATAGTACAGGCCAAAAGTTTGGACACACCTTCTCATTCAATGCGTTTTCTTTATTTTCATGACTATTTACATTGTAGATTCTCACTGAAGGCATCAAAACTATGAATGAACACATGTGGAGTTATGTACTTAACAAAAAAAGGTGAAATAACTGAAAACATGTTTTATATTCTAGTTTCTTCAAAATAGCCACCCTTTGCTCTGATTACTGCTTTGCACACTCTTGGCATTCTCTCCATGAGCTTCAAGAGGTAGTCACCTGAAATGGTTTCCACTTCACAGGTGTGCCTTATCAGGGTTAATTAGTGGAATTTCTTGCTTTATCAATGGGGTTGGGACCATCAGTTGTGTTGTGCAGAAGTCAGGTTAATACACAGCCGACAGCCCTATTGGACAACTGTTAAAATTCATATTATGGCAAGAACCAATCAGCTAACTAAAGAAAAACAAGTGGCCATCATTACTTTAAGAAATGAAGGTCAGTCAGTCCGGAAAATTGCAAAAACTTTAAATGTGTCCCCAAGTGGAGTCGCAAAAACCATCAAGCGCTACAACCAAACTGGCACACATGAGGACCGACCCAGGAAAGGAAGACCAAGAGTCACCTCTGCTTCTGAGGATAAGTTCATCCGAGTCACCAGCCTCAGAAATCACAAGTTAACAGCAGCTCAGATCAGAGACCAGATGAATGCCACACAGAGTTCTAGCAGCAGACCCATCTCTAGAACAACTGTTAAGAGGAGACTGCGCCAATCAGGCCTTCATGGTCAAATAGCTGCTAGGAAACCACTGCTAAGGAGAGGCAACAAGCAGAAGAGATTTGTTTGGGCCAAGAAACACAAGGAATGGACATTAGACCAGTGGAAATCTGTGCTTTGGTCTGATGAGTCCAAATTTGAGATCTTTGGTTCCAACCGCCGTGTCTTTGTGAGACGCAGAAAAGGTGAACGGATGGATTCCACATGCCTGGTTCCCACTGTGAAGCATGGAGGAGGAGGTGTGATGGTGTGGGGGTGTTTTGCTGGTGACACTGTTGGGGATTTATTCAAAATTGAAGGCACACTGAACCAGCATGGCTACCACAGCATCCTGCAGCGACATGCCATCCCATCCGGTTTGCGTTTAGTTGGACGATCATTTATTTTTCAACAGGACAATGACCCCAAACACACCTCCAGGCTGTGTAAGGGCTATTTGACCAAGAAGGAGAGTGATGGAGTGCTGCGGCAGATGACCTGGCCTCCACAGTCACCGGACCTGAACCCAATCAAGATGGTTTGGGGTGAGCTGGACCGCAGAGTGAAGGCAAAGGGGCCAACAAGTGCTAAACACCTCTGGGAACTCCTTCAAGACTGTTGGAAAACCATTTCAGGTGACTACCTCTTGAAGCTCATGGAGAGAATGCCAAGAGTGTGCAAAGCAGTAATCAGAGCAAAGGGTGGCTATTTTGAAGAAACTAGAATATAAAACATGTTTTCAGTTATTTCACCTTTTTTTGTTAAGTACATAACTCCACATGTGTTCATTCATAGTTTTGATGCCTTCAGTGAGAATCTACAATGTAAATAGTCATGAAAATAAAGAAAACGCATTGAATGAGAAGGTGTGTCCAAACTTTTGGCCTGTACTGTATGTCAATATAATGTTTCTGTTTTGCCTATCTCTCACCTACAATGCTTTAAGAAACATATTTTATTGCCATTTTTAGCTGTGTATAGAGAGAGTTTGTGGACAGGAAGTGGGTGCCATACTGTTTCCTGTACATTGAAGATGGAGGCCAAAAAACCCCAGATCAAACAGTAAAACTAGGAAGTACTGATCAAATATAAACCAAGATTCTGTTACTGTATTGCTTATTTCTCACCTGAAATGTTTTCAGAAACATGTTTTGGCTTCCTGCGTAACTGTAACACAAGATTATTTCTTGCCAGTCGGCCGCCGTTGTGTCAAGCGGACGTGTTCACACTACGTCACCCACCAGTGGGAGCATTTATTGGTCTGGTGTAGCGCAGTGCATCCTGGTAGTTGTAGGTTTTCTCCCTCTTGTGTAAAAGTGTCCTTTTTCTCTGTTTTCTCTGCATCTTTCTACTGCATAGACATCCTAGTTTTATTAAAAGGCCATCTTTCCAGCGGTGAAATAATTCTTTAAGATTATTTCAAGAATTGACTACCTTTAAGTATTTCCATTTGTTTGTCCTGATATCTGATCTGAACAGTGAAACATGTATGTTGACATTGTTGTAATTGTAGTTGAGATGATGAAAGTCAAAAGTGGGTTAAAGTTTACCAGGTGAAAAGTAAAACCAAGACCGTGAGGAGGAAAACAAGTCTGGGTGAGACAATACTGAAAAAAAGGAATGTTGTAAATAATAGATAACAATAACAAAAACAAACCACATGGTCGAGGCCGCGGTAGACAAGCAGCTCTCATGTTCTGCGAGGTAAAACTACTGTTCTTGTCAAAGGAGCCTGGAGGCTTTGAAGTGAATGATATGACGGCTCCAGTTCCCCATCAGAAAAAGCTAGGCAGATACTGATTTGTCTTAGATAGGCTTCTTTTTAGGTGGCTTATGTATGTTTTGCAGCACATTGCTTAGCGTCTGTGTTGGTACTCCTGTCCGATTCTTCGAACTGAGGGTGTGCTGTCTACGGTAGGTAATACCCTGATGATAGATAAGTGCCTCATACAACCCCACTTAAAAAAATCAAATGTTAACATGACAGACAATATTCTTTGAGTAAAACAGAAGATAAAACTGATTATGATGAGCTATTTCTTCTGAAAGTCTGTATCTTCCTGCTTTACACAGGGTGTCTTTATGTGGAGTGGCAGACACCGGGATAAAATCCCAAATTCTTCACATCCTATATGTAGGTAGTAGTGTGAGGGGAGGTGGTCATAAAATTTGTGATTTTTACATCTGTACTGCTTTATTTGCAGCTTCTCAGTCATCTGAATTGTACTAACCCTGTATGTATGAAAGGTGCTATACTGTACAAATAAAATTTGATAGATTAACTGATTGTGATGGCACCACCAACTGCAAGCCTATATTTTCATATACCATAACATAACCACAACATATAAAGCACACAAATAGAATTACATATAAAACACTGGAGGTACTTTTGTATTTACAGTATAAATGGTGAGTAATATATACAGTAACAGAACAAAGGAATGAGTATAAAAGCTAAAAGTCATTTCTGAATCTAATTTGACTTTAATGTTTTAGAGGATTTCAAGAATGTGCTAAATTAAGTATTTTTCACTCTTCATCACAATAGTTCAGTGTGTCATTGGCTGCTGTGTCCAAAAATGTATGTGTCCTGATATTTGATCTGAACAGCGAAACATGTACGTGCACATTGTTGTAGTAGTTGAGATGACAATCGAATGATGAAAGACAAAAGTCGGTTAAGGTTCACCAGGTGAAAAGTAAAACCAAGACAGTGAGGAGGAAAACAAATCTGGGTGAGACAATGCTGAAAAAATTATTAATGCAGCCATGCGGTTTGGAAATAATAGATTTAAAGCTGTTATAGATGATTAACAAACAAGGTGAACTGTGTGGAACTTTGTTGTAGTTTTTTGTATTTTGCAGATTACCGTCTCTAATTGAATAAACCAACAACTCTACCAAAGAAACATTTTTTCTCTTTTAAGGTACTTCATTTGCCTCATTTCCCCCCATTTTTTTCATATTTTCCACATTAATAAAAGAAGCAGTTAACGTAACAAATGGTAATAATATTTTTCTTTATTAACACTTCACATTTGTTGACTCTTGTGCACATTATAGTTTTGTCTATTTCTTAGGGTTTGAGAGGGAACATTGGGTATTTGACAAATGTAGGACTGTGCAGTTCACCCATTTTGTGGCTAAAAATGAACTACTCCACAAAGTGACCATCTGATTATCAATTACTTACCGTGTGTTAAGTGCTAAGGAAAATCTTTTTTGCTCGCATGCCTCCACTGTTAATGAAGAATCCAAAAAAGGCAAACATTTTTCATGAAGTAATCATGGTCCAAGTCTGATTTCATACTTCCCAAATAAGTGCATTTACTCTAAAATGTTAAATTATAAAACACTTCTGCCTAACAGGAGCATGCCTAGAACGCACCTGTGTGTGCTTGCAGGAGACTGATTGTACTGACCTGTGTAAATGCATGTGTTTGGGAAGTACTGAGCATTACTGGATAAATGAAACTTGGACCCTGATTACTTCACTTCATATGTCCGCTTTTTTAGGATTCTTCGTTAACTGTAGAGGCATGTAACAGAAAATTTTTTCCTCACCACGTCAACGTAACACGCGGTAAGTAATCGATATACAAATGGTCATTTTGCAGGTGCATTTTCCTTTAACTAAACAACTTAAGGAGAGAAGTCCTGCCACCTTAATTTACCAGCAGTACAATAAACTAGTTTAGCGTATAGTCTGAATGTAGATGTTGTCTCTTACCCCGTTCTGTGTGTTGCAGTGTCGCGTGCCAACAATGCATCCAGCTTCCTCGATCATCTTGAGGATGATGCCACCGTGGACGTTTCCCACAATGTTGGCATCATCTGGCCGCATGATCCTGCAGTGAAGAGAAGATTAGTTAGCATGACTCTGGATCTGGTGTATGTGTTATCACTGTAGCATCTTGTTTTAAGAGTTCTTGGGATCTTGTTGGGAAAAAATACTATGGATCAATAAATGTGAAAAACTGACAAGGCAAGGCAGCTTTATTTGTACAGCACATGTCATACACCAGGGCAATTCAAAGCGCTTTACAGAGCATAAAAATATAAAACTTAATAAAGCATACAGACTTACAATAAAAGAGAAAAGGGAAAAGATATAAAAGCTAAAATTAATTAATAAATTATTTACAATTTAAAAAAAAATCATTAAAAATAGCTACGTCCAGACAAGAGTAGGAAAGATAAAAAAGATTATTTAAAATGTTTTAAAATTGAGTTTGCGGTCATTACAGGGTGGAGTAGGCAGTGTTAAAAAAGGGCGTTTTTAGCTTTGACCTAAAAGTGGTCCAAGATGGGGCTCATCTTACATCATCTGGGAGGTTATTCCAAGTTTGTGCTGCATGATAACCAAATGCTGCCTCACCATGTTTTGTTGTAACTCTTGGGACGGTCAGCAGGCCAGCCGCAGAGAGGCTTTTCAGTGGAAAGCTGCAGAGGGTTGAAACATTGCTGAGCAATGATTTCAGGAGAAAAAAAAGTAGTCTCTTCCTACTCCAACATCTGGTGCTTTAACAGTAATTAAAGTTTTAACAGTACAGAACTGAGCCAACAACTTGAGATAGTTTTGGCTGTGTGGGGCAGAGGATGCTTTGATCGGCATTATCAAAGGTTAACAAAATGTTCCTGTGTTTTCAGTTAAAGTCACTTGTTTGTTGATCCTATCTGTAACAAAAAAAAAACTCATAAAAAATCTGACATGATTCTTGGCAATAGCAGAACTATCTAAGAACACATCTGTTGAGATGTCCTTCCAGATAGTCACTGATGAGTTGCAAGGACTTAGTTGTTTTGTAGATGTTTTTGACCTCACCTCTGTGTCTATCTGATGACTACATACAGCATCATTTTCACTGGCAGTACAGGATGTTGTCATGCACATCAGCTGTTTCCAATTCCTCCATGTGTGGGTTAAACTAGTTTTACCTGTTATAATCCAATCTGCTTACATACTCCAACAGACTCCACCACAGACGCAAGGTATGAACGGCTGTACTACAATTTTACATGGAAATCAGGCAGTAACGCTTTCACAGGAATGTGTACATTGTGCAATACAAAGATCCACATCTTGATAGCATTAGCGATCGCACTGCACAGGGACGCTGATTGTGCATGAGTCATGTTTAATGTTTGGTTCATAGTTACGACAACAGTCAACCACCTGAGGATTACTACCGATGCCAGTTAGAAATTATTAATGTTTATTTGTTTATATATTTATATGAATGGCAGTGTGACGTAGACTTCCTCTAAAAATAGTCTGAGTCAGAGTTACATGTGAACCGGTGGGGAATTTTACTGTTGCAACACCAAGGAGCAGTAGCTTGTTGCCACAGACAAAGCAGAAGCACTACATGTGTCCACAGTTGTTATATTTAACTAAAACTAGAGTAAACAATTTCAGTTCAATTCAATTTTATTTTATAAAGCCCAATATCACAAATCACAATTTGCCTCAGAAGGCTTTACAGCATACGACATCCGTCTGTCCTTAGGACCCTCGCAGCGGATAAGGAAAAACTCCCCCATAAAACCCCTTAAAACTAGATGTGAAAAAACAGACTTAAAAATAAAACCTAGACTTTGAAAAAAAATGTACTGAACTAAAATAAAATTCAAACCTGTCAACACACTGAGTGTGAGGTGGCACTTCACTGAGACAATGTCTCTATGACTGTGAGTCAACTGTCTTTACAAAGCGCTGTATTTGTGTTGTAATAACTCTTCTGAACTTCTTAAATCAATGCCCCTGACAAACTGTTATAAAAAATGACTAATACTAATACTGAAACTAATAAAAACTTCACTCAAAAAAGCAAACCAATGATGGAAACTAGCTGAAACTAAACTGAATTGAAAACAACATTTAAAAGGGAAATAAAAACACAAAACTAAAATAATGTACTTGTCATATTACACATAATAACCAGGCAATATATAAATAACTCTACTATACAGCACTTTGATAAACACTACTGTTGTGAATGAAGAAAGATAGAGGTGCTGATTTACCTTTATTTTAATCAACTTTAATTTACATATAAAGCAAAAATGCTAAACTGTTGAGAATATATTTCAGTCCAATCAACAGCAGCAAAAGCTACAGTCTCAAAACTGACCAGCATAAATTAATCAATTAATTATCAATCAGCACCTCTCTGACACAGTCTGAACAATAATCAAAAAGTTTAACAAAGTAAAAGTATTTTCATTTAGTACTTTTTAAAATATTGTTATTTTTCTTCAAACAGCAAATTTTGTATGAGATAATATAAGATTAGGTGTCCTTTACTGTCCCCATGGGACACTCATTCTACCCAGAATAGCACAACACAACAGACGCCACAATAAATAACACAACATCAATGTACAAGATAAATATCATTGTATCACTGTTTTGTGTGTGTGAGAAGAGAAAGAGTGTATCAGACAGAGCATCCTGTAAATTCAGCATCATTGTGTGTGTATGTGTGAGCGCGTCAGAGACGAACTACCTGCTGAGTTGATATTTAGCGCCCTGCGGAGCTCCTGCCTCCCCATCTCTCATGACATCTCTGCTGGCTTTGCATTTCTCCACCACCGCTGCCTTCTCAGCTTTGCTGCTCGGAGGCCTAAAGCAACGCATCTTTGCACTCTGATTGATTCTCAGTCTTGCTCTCTGGTCCACTTCCCTTTTGAATGATCTCTACATGCACATCTCCTGAGATTTTGGGCTCTGACATTGTTGTGGTGAGTGATGTCATGAGGCGTTAGGGCTGACCCCGCCTAAGGTGTCTCGAGTAGTCAAACTGGATCTCAACACACCCACTGATTCACAGACAGATGGCAGTTGACCAATACAACCTGTTGTCATTACACCTAGGTTTGTGTGTCACAGCTGACAGACTGGCAGAGTAAGGAATGTCTCAGTGACACATCTGCCAAGAGGCCCAGAGGCATGTGTGATTCCAACTTAAGAGTTTAAAAAAATGTTTCTATGAGGTTAGGATATACATTTTCTTTCTGAAATTGTGTGCATTATTGCTTCATTCATAAAAACATTTACTTAGATTTTTTACACTGTTAAATGGAGGAGATTCTTCGCTTTCTAATGATAACAGTATTGTTTTTGTTCTCTAAATATTAAGCATAATATGTCACATTACATAATTAATGTCACTGAGCAATGATTTTGAGAAAACAGCCTTCAAAGTTTGCACTGCTCGCGGTGAAGATACATGACAGAGCCCATTCTTCTAAACTGGGAGAGAATGCTGTACTCTGGTGGCTGCCTTGGGGAGAGAAAATAAACTAAAAGATACAGGGATATTTTTATATTGTAGCCACGGGGGTAATGAAAACAAGCATACCCTACAACACGTTGCAGGAAGAGAATATTTCACTGCAGTCCGTTTGAAGGCAGAAGTTAGCATATACAGTAAGCAGTGGACTTCATATGACAATATTCACAACTTGGATCAATTTTTCATGAAAACTCCTTTTTATTCTTTTGACTGGAGAGCCTTTACAGACTAAAGGAACATAAATAACTGAGGAAGGGACACTTACCTGAACTTAAGGAGTTAACACTTTTTTGTTTCTCTTGTTAACCATGCCAGTATAAAATGACTTACACTTTGCTGCTCATGGTTTTCGTAAATTGAACTGATTGACTGACCTGTAGAGAATCTGACCAAGCTAATGGTGTGTAGCATGTCCATACTGACAAAAGTTTAACGTTGCACATCATCATTTTGATGCACAATGCTAAGCCACTTAAAGCTGGGCTAGCTCAGATGGTTTAATATTCTGAAAGCCAACACTTTTGTATTTGAAATCAGACAAAACTGTCCTGGATCCTGCCTAGTTACTATAAAGTGAAGCCTTTCATTCATAATTTCAGGTAGACATAGAGGGAGGGATGGGAGTGGCACTGGGTAGGACCTGAGTGCAGCTGACAAGTGATTGCAGCTTGTCATCTTGCCTTTATAAGCTTCAAAACTGTATTGATTGTCTGAATTTGGCGATAAAAGTTTCATATTCTGAAAGGCTTTGTTTATCTAAAATCAAACAAAAGCCCAAAATAACCAGCAATGGAGATGTCTTCATAAATTAACAGAACAATGTGCACTTATTATTATACTACCAGTTCTAGTATTGTGGTTTACTGCAGGTCTGTGTGTGATTTGTGCAGTCGTGTTGCTGTACCGCAGCAAAAGGCTCTGCTTAACCGCTGTGGGTACAATCAATGTCACAAATTATACTGTCTCTGTATTTCATTACTTTCAAAAGTATTTAAAAAGTGGAAAACTAGAATGTAATGTGAGTGTGATGTGGGCTAAATCACTGTAGGTGTTGACAGTGTGTCATGAAAATGGCATAAAAATCATATATGATAAAAAAAAAAGTCATAGTGTGTGAATGGTCCTCAATCGTATGCTGGCTCCTTAAAATGGCACTCAGCCATCAAAACTTTGAGAAACCCTGATCTGAGATTTTTGCTTTTGATGAGCTGATCCCCCACCCAAAGAATTTTGTTCTCCACAATGATTGTGTTTTTACAGTCAGACAAAGATCACAACCAAAGCAGTTATAAGTGTCACAAGACCCCTCTGTTAAAACATTCCACGTGAATCGACCACAGGTTTTAGAAATATAATATGGATCACTTCTCTCAAACACAGTCCAGCACAAAAGCCCTTTACAATGTTGATGTGAACCTCACAGGTTTGTAATATACTGACATCCTAAAGCAATCCACCATCAAGGTATGACGTCTTGTCTAGATTGTTAAAAGTACCCAGCACTGTATATTAAAATTAAATATCTAGACTAAACAGATAGTCGACGCAAGAAATGGTGTGCAGACATTCCTACTTATACAGAACGGTTTTGAAGTTTTAACACACACGCTACACCTAAATGTTGGGTTTTTTTAACATCAATTGTCACTATTAGAATCTTAAGCTTAAAAATAAAGGGAAAGCCATACTACTACCATGAGCAAGTGCATCAGTACAGTCAAAATCTTTTCACAGCTTGCTGAAACAAACACAAAACATCTAACTTTTACCTGTGCAGAGCAGAACAGCAGCGAAGAGTGTGAATTAGCCTCCGAAAAGCACATTTTGGCATCATGTCTGTCCCTAGCCCCATCAGTAACTGGGGTAGAGGGTATTCTGCATCACAAGCAGGACTGAACTGTGTTGCAGCCAGGCAACATTACCAGGCAAGACAGGAATTCATCAAACATTCACAACTGTACGTCCACAAACATAAAACACACACTTTAATTCTGTGTATGTTTGCATGGCCAGACACACACCAGATGACTATCCTTTGCTTAAAGGTTTTGAATTTTTATCATTATTATAGTATTAGCAATAGGAGTAAAAATGTGTCATAATTCAGACATTTAGCTGATGCTCTCATCTGAAGAAACTTGCATGCAAAAAAGAAAAGAAAACAGGATGTGACTTGTTTTTTCCAGAGAAGTTGAGACATGTTATCAGTGAGAGGTGTGGTGAAGAAGAGTCTAAGCAGAGCAATCACCAGGCCGTTTGGACACATGTCTGTGTAGTCACGCGTGACATAAGTGTTTGTAAGGAATTGTGGTTTGAATTTGACGTACACAGGTAAGGGCAGCCAACAGAAAGAGTGTAGGAGGTGAAAGTTTAGCGAGGCTAAAAATAAAGCAGACTATGTAGGTGCATAATGAATGTTTCTGGAGGAAGCTGCAGTGATCAAGAAAGTGGATCACTGGCAATAAGCTCAGCAAAGTCCCAGGTTAGGAAGGTAAAATTCTTCAAAAGACTTTAATACTGTTAAAAATGGCTGCTGCTGGTGTACCCCATATTGTGAGGCCAGTTGGTGTTGGGTGGTATCTTATTTCTGCATATAATTAATATAAATTCTGGTTAAACTACAGTGAAATGAAATTGGAAAAATAAAAGTAAGACCCACCATTTCACATTGAACAAATGTAGCCTTAGCATGGCAGCCATGAGACACACTGAATTTTGACTGAGGGGCATGGTCACAATCATTGACAAATCCCTATACAAACAAACCAGCTAACCACCCACATCTAATTGCACACACACACCTTTAACTGTTAAACTGTTTGTATTGAGGGTAAAGGTCATTGTGGGCTGTGTCTGAATTCTATTCTGAGGGCAGGTTCAAGGAAACTGATCATAAAATAATCCTCAAATCCTATTTTATGTCCAGTGAAACAGTTTCTGCTCAGATTCTGTGTCAGATCTAGGGATGACGTGTCAGTCTGCTGGTATCACATTACATCATCACACAAATATGGAAAATCAATACACTACACAAACTGTGATATGACAATGTTGCTTGTTGTTGTCATGTTATTTAAAAACCAAGCCTGGATCACGTATAGTAAAGAAGGCTTTACAGTTTCCACTCAGGCCAGAATCAACTGATCAGCCTCATATTCCTATTCTTTACAACACAATACAGTGTGTACAGTAAACCAGCTTCTCTCATTGTGAAGCACTCACTGTGTGATCAGCCTGCCTGGAGATTGTGCTTTCAGATTATTTTTGCTTTCAGAATATGTTTGCATAAGACAAACTTTGGGCAAACTCTTATCAGTAACACGGATATGACAACCAAATGGGTGGATATTTTCATTGTTGATTTTACTTGGGTTGAACAGCCTAATATGTTCATAAAAATGTGTCACTTAACTGTGCAGCAGCTTTAAAACCGGACAAACATCATGACATGTTTGTGAGAATTTCTTGCAGAGATAATTAAGGGGACTGTGTGATGTTTCTTACATTTAGTGCAAAATATGATGACAGACTCGTAAGTAGACTCTATTTTTAAGGCTTCTGCTGAAGACTGCTTTCACTATAACCAAACCACCTCATGCTATGATTGCGTCAGTACATGTCTTAGCTCTCAAGTTAAAAATATCCTCTTTCCTTTAGTCCGAACATACACAAAGCAGTGGTTGGGTTGACAGTGTTTCAAAATGTGGCACTGTTTGCTACATGTAATGGAAAAACTGGACATAGCAATTATATTTTAAGTAAGAATTGATATTCATGTTGCTGTTTTGAGGGAATCTAAAGCCATGGGGCAAACTGCAAAACAAATTCAAACATAATATTCAGTTCTAATATAACTTTCAGTGAAATTAAGCTTCATTTGAATTCTCAGGGGTTTTTCTGAAGCAGCTGAGTGCAGCCTAGTTCTTGTAGACAGTTATATGGCTCCACCTAGAGGCAAGCACAAGTACAACAAACTGCATGCTGCTAGGAAATTGAGCTTATTCATTGCAAAGGTATTTTAATAGGAACCAGTCATTACCGCTGTATCACACACGTTACTGTTTGCTGTCACTGTTCTTCTTTATTATGGTGATAAATATTAAAGGCTCAACTACACGGGATTTAACAGCACACTCCAGACAAACTATTTGCATGCGCACATTAATTCAAGCCTACGCCTTGAAATGAAACTTTTATGGTAGTTTCGGTGAAATGATGGCGACCTTAATGTGTCCTTGGTGGTCTCAGCGCGTGTCCTACCGGTGCTTATCACGCTGAGGTCATCACATACGACATAAATGATCAGCATGTCTGCCGACTGAAAAGCCTGAACACATGCCGTTTGATGCGTCATAAAGCAGCTAAAATTAAACACTGTCGACCACCGACTGAACACAGTGATATTAGAGAAGCCTTCTGTGTACTGTAACGGGACCCGGAGCGGATTATCTGGGTGATCATCCCGTGAGGACCGACGCAGCGACGCCGGTAGCAGCGCTGTTCTCGTCATTTGTCGATCAACACCGCGTTATTAGCATGTAAAGGCTGCTACTTGCTTGCGTATGTGTTTATGTGTCGTGACAAACGTCCTACCTGCATAATTGAAGGGAGGATGGTGCGTCGCGCGCCTGCGGTGCCGACATGCTGCTTCTGCTGCTGATGGTGGTGGTGATGGTGGTGATGATAAGCTCTCGGGGTTTGTTGGTCTCGTGTTGCAGCAGGATACTGTGAGATGTGAGGGGAAGTCAGACTCCTCCGGTGTCCGCCGGCTGCTCTGTCTGGTCTCTTTCACAATGACTCATCTGTAGGAAAAGTGACCTGCTTAGACTTCAGAGGTGTTTATATGATGTAGCTCATTTGTTTTGCAAACATTCAAAAATGACGTAAACCAACCAAAAAACATTTATGTTAAGTGTAGTGGTCGGTATCTTTCATAGAGCTGAACATAATTTTGCAACGGAACTAGAAACCATGACCATGTCATTACCTGTAGACGTCGGAGGAGGGCAGCAGAGACCGCATTTCCTCCAACATGCTCAGAGCAGGAGCAATATTTCATGTTGCCTGAGGTGGGCGCGTTTGACCACAACCTCCATCCTGAGTAACGTTTTTTATTCTGTTGAAATCTGCTGGACAGATGTGTCACCGAGACCTTTCCTCATTAAACAGAGAGAGTTTCCATATAAGGAAATATTACATCATGTTCGCTGTAACAAGTTTCAGTTCAGAGTCTGGAGACGCTTTGGTTTCCATGCTCCATATTGTTGGAAGGAAGCCACCTCAAAACTTTGCTTTTGAATTGTATTGCAATGAAAGGCACAGTCAGTCTACCCTTTGTCTGAAGTGTGCCAACTAAATAACGTTTATTTTCATTTACCATGGCACAGCTTTCATATAAAGTATGGCTGTGCGTAAAGATGCGTAATTACGCACATGACTTAAGACCAATGTTGTTATCCATAAGGTATAAAAAAAAACACTCAACACAAAATCTTACCACGACATGGCAGTTTTATTTGTTTATATAACATATATACAACATTTGCTGTAAATAGCAAAAATAAAACATCCCCACAGAGATACTTACAATGACACATAACATGTCTACAGAGTTCATCTGCACAGACTCAGGACACTGAGGTCTATGGTGCAAATTCATACACACTGACCCTTTGGGTCTTACAGGGCTGTTTCAATGGCCCTTCATCACTTAGTCCGCGGAGAGGACTAAATATTTACCGTATACATACATGCAGATTTAAGAAAATACGACCGCCTAAACTTGTCAACTTAAACAGGACAACAGACTCGTGCGCAGAGCGTAAGTATATAATACTCAACCAATACGATTTAACGATGAATTCTGGCTTTCATCAATCACTGTGTATATTTACAAGTGATGCTATCTCAACATGCTGCCTACATATCAAACACTTTACAGTTTTCACAGGCTTTTGGAAGAAACTGAAAACTGAAGAAATCTACCAAGGTCTCCACATGGCTGTGTTGACAGCCTGCGGGCCTGGCTGCGCTCGGCTGGGAGCAACTGCGCCGCTGCTGCTGCGGGACTGGCTCTCCAGTCTGGAGCTGAAGCTGGATTTCAGGCTCAGGAGTTTCTGCTGGATCTGAGGGAGAGTCCTGGAGCTCTGAGCGCAGCAGTTCAGGCAGGTTGGTGTGACGGTGGAGGACATGGATTGCTGGACGAATTCGTTCACCCGCTGACACGCGTCTTGATCCAAGCTCGTTTTGGGGAGCAGAGTTGAGACGCGCTGGAGGCAGGCTTTGTAGCCCTCCTTGTAGTTGTTTGCGGAATCTGAAAAGACAATGACTTGTTAGTTCCTCTGTTCAAAAGTGTCGAGAAGAGTCCACTATTTCTGTATTTCTCAACAAACACGTTATACAAGCAGAACCACTCACTTTTGGTGTTAACAGGAGGAATGTCGCTGAGGAACCTCACAGTCATTTCCAGGATGTCGGCTTTTTCAAGCTTGGAGTAGCGAGTCTTCTGAAAAAATTTCAAAAAGCAAATGTTAAACATATGAGCCTAAATGTTGCCATGACGGAGGTGTTTCAGAAACGTATTATGCATGCATTGAAATGGATATGAGAACTTACATCTCTGCCTGTGAGGGGGAGGATGAGGTTTTTCAGATGGTTCAGGCTGTCGTTGATACGGGCGCGCCTTCTTTTTTCCATCAAAGGCTTCATTGTCTGAAAAAAACATCATGTTTAGAATTCATTCATTACATTACGTGCAAAACATCAGAGAAAATGTTTAAGATAATAAAGCAAAATTTGACTTCGCTTACCTTTCTGAGCTCAAGAGCCTCTTTTCTTTTGGCCACAGTTAGCCTTGGAGAAAAAGACTGGAGAGCTTCACAAGTCATGTTTGGAGACATTTTCAGCTTCGTCTTTGTGCCAGAGAAGTGTCCAGAACGAAAGTCAGTGAAGATGTGTCTCAAACGGCCAAGGGCTGCGGTATATATGCAGCTCCATGGCGTCGGTTAACGTGCGTCACGGCTACGCCCCCAAGCCAACACGAAACGATTTGGAGTATGAACTCAATGGAAACAACACCAAACCATCAAATTTAGTGAGATAACCATCTGTCTTCTATTCTAATCCATGCGTAACAACTATAGCGCGTGTCTGCGTTGTGATCCAGCGACCAAATAAAACAAAACCTGCGGTAACAAGCTGGAGAAATGTGTGCGTAAAGAAGCTTTGGACGCACCGAATGCTCATTCACCAAATATCAATTCTGCAAACTCTTTGAACCCAACTTATATCAAATTAAATATAACATAAGTAGGTTTATTATTTCATATATAGTGGATGGAAAAGGTGTTTCTAAAATACACAAAAATATATAATTAGTGGTGCGTAATTACGCAGTGCTTTGGAGCTGGATACTTAATATATAGGCTGTATTATAGGTTATATAGCGTTCGTTTATTTTGAGATCTAACAAGGAAACATAATAGAATTCATTTTAAAGAATAATATTTTCTCAACACCAACAATTTGTATATAAGCTTGTAATAACTTTATATTATTAAAATGTGTTTGCCTGCTGAATTTCATGATGCTGTTCCACGTTGAGGTTTTATTGTATTTTACTGCGTAATTTGCCCAAGTTTGATTACATATACTTTACACTATGTGTTTTAAAATAAAAATGCACACTTTGAACAATAGGGTGCAATACACACACTGCTGGCGTAGGGGTCAGGCTTGAGCGTATGAACAAGTGTCCACAGAGATACAGACTCTTACTCCAATCTCATACCCAAGCCACGCTACTTTCAAATAACATCTGCTCTTAGATTTTGACAACAATAGTTTTGCATATGATGTTTTTATGCAGTTTCTGCCCGGGGGGTGTCTCTACCTGAAGGGTGTATCCCGCTGCTGCCAACGCCTCACGCAACGCGGCGGGGGCTGAAAAACAAAGGGTGGGAGCATGTACTTCAATCACAATAGCCACCGCGAAATATAAAATGAGCCTGATGTCAGATTTAACTTTTTATGTGTTATTAATACTTAGGCTATTTATTTGTGGTCTTGTTGTATTCCATAACCGACCATGTGCCATGTGAGCTATGAATCCAACTTTGAATTAAAGCTTTGAGATTTTTCAGATTTTAAATAAAAACTGGAGAGACATGACAACCCATCAAATGCCACTGCACTCAGGGGAACCACGCGCGCAGCACGCGCCACGGGGACCAGATGGCTGTCTGTTACCGAGCCTCCATCCATCGACCCCACCCCCATACACTCCTCCTGCACCACACCAGCATCCTCAACAGCCAGCCTCCCAGTCCCACCGTGGATCTATCCACATCTTATCCATGCGCGCGCGCGCACGCACACACACACACACACACACACACACACACACACACACACACACATTGCATTGCATATACTCAAGCTCTTTCTATAAACTTTACACGCACGACACATGATCTCCACGCAGTTTTGGCGTGGGTGCCCCAGCTGCATGCCCCTTAAGGGTCCATGTTGTCGTCCAACTGAAACAAACCATTCTCGCCCCCCCTGTTTGGAAACTGTGTTGCAATTGTCTCCTTCGGCTGGACTCATGGATATTTCGGCGTCCAAGCTATCATGAAATGCCTGTTTATCAATATCATATGATGATGACGAAACACAAAGCTCAAGCTGTTGGTGGAGATGGAGATGCTGGTCTGAAAGAGCAGATTGCATGATCCAGTGGACACGGTTCTTTTTAAATTATTACGGTAAACATCAAACAGTTCACATAGGAAAACACACACTGAGAATCTTAAAAAAGCATTATTTTTTTTCTGATATTGTAAGAACTTCCCAAAACACAAGCAGAATTACAGAATTACAAATCCAATATTGAAGAGTATATTAAAGCAGTAACGCAAAGGCAAACGACTACGCAACTGGATCTGAATTTCAGAGACACTAATCCATTATTCAGTCTGCAGTCATCTTTATACAATATATGGATTCAATCATAAAGAGAGCATAATGTGTTTGCATTACGTCAACTTTAAATTGGTTTCCAAACCGCACTCGTGCACTAGATTTATCCATCCATAATGGCGCAATATGATTTTAATGTTAGCTATCATTTATAAGGTGTTGGGGTGATTGAGCATAACTTCCAACTATGTCCACAACTTGAAATGACAATAAATAAAGTCTACAGAGTCTAAATGTGAAGGTCAGCATCGTGCAGACATGATCATGTAACGCTGCTTCAACAAAGCCAAGCGCTGCCCTGAAACAGAGAGGCACACTTGCTGCACGCGCCCCTCACCGCCCCGCTGGGATGGAGGGATGATGGAGGTGGTGGGGGTTGGGAGGAGGTACACTTTTCCTCCGTTTTGCTCCTACGGTTAGAGTCCTCTTTTGTCTTTTCTAACAAAATCGGCGTCGGTAACCCATCTGTGCAGGCAGGATAACAGGGAGCCTTTGTCTGACAATGTTCCGACACTTCATGGGAATAAGACTCGCATGTGGGGCTAAGGGTGGGGAGAGAAACAGAGACACGGAACTCCACCTGACTTTTGCTTCAGCGTGATGTGAGCTGAGAGGAAACGGGAGGATTCGTTTTTGATTGTTTGTTTGTTTTGGGGTTTTTTTCTGAGTCTTAAACACCATATCCAGCTATAATATCCATAAACAAACTCCACATGTGACCACCAACATGTCAAAAATGAAAAAGAATGTGTTAAATAATGCCCTGCTCTTGTGCTGTGAAACAGGTCAAATAAAGAAAATATCCCAATTTTCACGACCATTTTTTTTCAGGTGTATAACTTCTGCAGTGATATTCCCTTTATTTGACTGACAGGTTTGTGCACACTCTTCATTGTATTTTTTGTTCTGCTCTAAAAAATACAGAATTCGGTTGTTTTCGTCCTTTTGTGGGACTATACTTTGGTCTGTTCAAATGAAAGTAAAATTGAATTTTACCAGAAAACTGGAAAGAAATAAGTACAGTATACAATAGCATCCATTAAAGCCTTCAATCCAATACTGGGTCAGAATGGTTTCTTTTTAAGAGAAGCAAACTGGATTGTCTTGCAGCTTCCATGTGTTTGGGCTTCACTCACTCATCCAGTTTTGTAAATGGAGTGAAAGGACATACTGTGTGTTTGCAAATTGATTTTTTTCCATATTTTAACTTTTGAACTTTTTATCAGTTCAAATTAGAGCAGATTGTTCTCCAGTACACTGTAACTTAAGCTGCTCCTTGTTTCTTTCTACACCAGCTGGACTTGGTGTTATCCCACCTGAAGCCTGTTACCACTGATTTGAATCAAACAATATAATGTGATGTCAGTAATCTTAAGTAGGCTTAGAGGAAATGCAATAGAAAGGTTAGAAAAAATGGGAGATATAATTTACTCATATGGTGTAGAGAGGTTTGGGTTGCATGAGAGAAAGAGGAATGAGAGGGTACAGTCAGGTAAATCTAGGTGGCAAAGAGAAATAGAGGAGCTAGTCAAGGAAAGGAGACAGTTAAGAAAGATGTGGAGAAAGGCTACAGAAGAAGAAAGGGAGGGAATTAAGGTGTTGCAAGAGGAGTTGAGAAGCAGGCTAGCAGTTCTTAGAAGGGAAGAGCATCTCAGGAAAAAGAGGAGGAAGAAGGAACATGTAAGGACAGGTTTTTTCAGGGACCCTTTTAAGTTTGTTAAAGGATTGTTCAGCCAGGAAAAGGGAGGGCAGCTCAAAACAGAAAGGCTAGAGGTTGAAGAATATTTGAGAAATACATATTCAGATTTAGAGAAGAATAGGATAGTAGGTTTCCCACCCGATATCCCTCCATTAGGAGGGATAGAGCATGAGATGGATGTCAGGCCACCTAGGTGGAAGGAAGTTCAGGAGGTGGTCAGGCGTGCAAAGGCTTCTTCGGCCCCAGGGCCTAATGGAGTCCCCTACCGGGTTTATAAAAGTGCGCCTGATACCCTTAAATTTTTGTGGAAACAGCTAAGAATAGTTTGGGAAAAAC